ACCAGTTGCAAGGAAGTCAGGCCGATCTATACTTAGTAAAGAGAGGCTGCTCAGGTCGTTATATAAAAATGCACAGCACTTACCTTGAAGTCCAGAATGAAGGTTGCACAGTGGAGTGAACTTGGGGAGAGGGATTACATAACAATGAAAGAGTTTTTCTTTTTCTTTTCAAGGAGAAGAGTGATTTGGGGGTGAGGGGGTTGGACAGGGAGAAAAGTGCAATAATGAATGAGTGGAAACCCTAAGTCTCTGTAAACTTTCATTAAAATGAATAAATTTTTTTTTAAAAAAAGCTGATGCCATAACCTTATTTGCACAAAGTGAAGAGGACTTCAGGCACTTAAACTTTGATTCTTCTCCAGTCTTCCTTATTCATTGTCCAACTTTCAGATGCTTCAGAAGAAATGTAAAGTACCATGGCTTTCATCAGGAGCACCTTAGTCTTTAAGTGGACACCCATGCTCTTTAGCACTTTGAAGAGGGCCTTACCAGCAAAATTTCCCCAACGCAACATGTCTTTTGGTTTCTTGGCTGTTGCTACTATGGGTGTTAATTGTGGGTTCAAGTAAAATGACATAGTTGACAATGTCACTCTTCTCTACCTATCATGATGCTGCTTATTGGTCCAGAGGTTTTATTTCCTTAATGTTGAGACGTAATCTATATTATAGGCTGTAGTCTTTGATTATCTTCAGTAATTGCTTCCTCTTCATTTTCTGCCATTGTTGTTGCTATAAGCCGTTAAGCCGCCTGTGACACATAATGACCCTACATACAGCAGCTCTGAACCCTGCCCTTGTCTTGAGCCAGTCACACTAATTTCTACACACCAACCTCCACTGCCCCAGTTACTGTATCAGTCCATCTCATCAGGCGTCTTCCTCTCCTGTGCTGTCCCTCTACCCTTCCAAGCATGATCTCCTTCTCCAAGGAACAGCCTTTCCTGGTCATGTGCCCAAGAATATGTGAGACGGAGCTTCAGAGTCCTAGCCTCCAAGGGGAAACTTGATTTCATCCTCTCCAAGAGAAACCTGTTTGTTTCCTTAGTGGTTCATGATATGTTCAAGACTCTTCTCTAGAACCACAACTCAAAGGCATCGATTCTTCTTCTGTCATCCTTAGTTATTGCTCAGCTCTCTGAAGCATAACAAGTCATTGCGAAGACCATGGCCTGGATAAGGCGCACCTTAGACTCTAGACTGACATCACTGCCATAAGGATATTCTATTTTGCAAAGTGCCTATTCAAGTTTCTTCTTGTTGACTGCCATGGAGTTGAACATGACTCATAGTGACCCTATGAACAAAAGGCCTGAAGTCTCTCTATAACTATCATAATTTCTCCAAGTTCATAGGGTTTTGAGGCATGTGGTTTAGGAAGTGGATGCCACTCCTGCTTCCAAATCTGTCTTAAATTGGGAGCTCCACCAAACACTGCCCACGATAGGAAACCATTATGGCATTTGACTCCCCAGTGGCACAGGGTTCAGCATCACAGCAACCCCAGAGAAGAGTGCAACAATGAATGACTGGAAACCCTAAGTCTCTGTAAACTTTCATTAAAATTAATTTTTTTAAAGAAGAAATCAAATGTTATAAAAATGAAAGGGGGAGGAGCCCCTGCCACCCAAGTGTCTGCTTCAGATCTGGGATGAGCTTGGATTTCTTTTTTTTTTTAAACTATTTATTATTTGTGTGTGTGTACCATCAAATCAGATCTGAATGGTACAGGAGGAGATTGCCCCTCCTTCTCCAGCAGAGCATCTGGTGGATTCGAACTGCCCACCTCTTTGATTGCAGTGCAGCTTCTTGTCACTAGGCCACCAGAGCTCCCCAAGAGTTTGGATTTCTACCAACTGCTCAGGAGATACTGATGGTGGTCCAGGGACCACACTTTAAGAACCAAGGCTTTACAAGTATTTTAACTGCAGGAACAACAGATGTTTTTGTGCCAGTTCAGGGCATTATCACCGTTAAAATAAAATTTAAAAAAAAATCCATTTTGTTTTAAGTCTGCAGTATAAGCTAATTCTTACTTCCACCCCGACACTGCAATGACATAACTGAGCTATGTCAACAGCAAATATTTCAGTATGGCTGGATAGATTTTCTGCTTAGATCTGGGGTATCTAACACACCAGAAGAACTTTCAATAATAGTAGACATTAACAACCTGTATTTTTTGAAAAAAAGTGATATTGGGTTTCACAGCAAAGATATTAGTAATCTACTGAAGAACAGAAATACAGACCTCTGAATGGAAATGGAAACACATTTATTTCTACTAACTTTTGCTTCATTAAAATTATATAATAAAGTTATAACAGAAATAAAATAGAAACATGTTTAATGACTGCTTTCAACCTTAAATGACCAAATAAACATTTCAAACATTTCTGATGTTTTAACCATTTTTTAAAAAATTATAATCATTGTTGTCATTTCAGTCTCCAAAAATGCTAAACATCATTAATGGAAAAACTTACAAAGTGTGGTTTATTGAGCTAAATGGTAACCATATATTTCTAAATACAAAAGAGTCAAACACCTACTACATTCAACAAATTTTGGTAGTTTGCTCTGAGCGTGTATGTGTGCGCCTTAAAAGGAAAGATCCTATAAAACATCTGTCAAAATCCTGCTGTAGAAAACATACATACACGTGGACACGTATAAATGCACATGCAGTTTGAGAGAAGTTGCACCTTATTCTGAGAGGTCATGAGGATGCACTTCAAACCATGGCAGGCAGTAAAACCTTTATGAACTTGAACTTGAGACATCACAGCCTCCATTGAGAAAAAGGTATAAATGGAGTGGAACAGGCCCTAGAAGTACTATGGCTTGATTATGCACTAATCAGAAAGACCTAAAGAAAGTATTCTTAGTGCTCAGACGTAAACTAACTCGGGCAGACTCACAAAGGTGACCCTTCTGGATGTATCCTGAGGATGGACTGTGTTACTACACTGTGTCTCCAATGTCTTCCAGTATCTCACCAAGGCAGGAGGGCCTTTGTAAAAAGTTTAAAAAGGATTTCAGTGATGACTAAGACAACAGAGAGTTAGTTAGTCCTCAGGAAAGAATAAGGTGCCTTTCCCCTGAAATTACACTTAGAGTGTTTCTTGTATTTGCCTTCCTTCCTCACTCCACAAAGATCCCAATGTGCTGAATGCAAAACTGCATGGTTCCCACATCGGAGTCACATGAATCTAAGGAACAATTCGATTAGTGGTCAGACATTCCTCATGATCAAATGATCTGTAAGGGGTCCCAGTTCAGGAAAGTTGTGTTTTCTTTTCCTGTTGTATTTTCTCTCTATCTTTCTTAGGGGAGCGAGTAGAATCATTCTACTATGTTCTCACACAAGCTAAGCAGGTATTTTGGGGTGGCTTTTTCCTACACGTCTCATCTCTACTATTTTAACAAGTCCTTTGGGGAGTGCAGCGTCCTAGTCGTGTTAAGGAAAGTGGGGAGACAACATGGCAACGTCACACAGTCTTCAAGTAAACAGAATCCCTGATATAACTGGAAAGTACTGTTATTCTGCAGAAGTAAAAAAGAAAAGTCTGTTGACAGTTTTGTCTTGAGCCCTAAAAAAACGCTCTTTGGCTCTGTTGTCTTTTAAGGCACAAAACCTGGTAGACAGACAGCTGGTGGCCTGCACCTCTGATTTGGACAAGAAAAAAAAACCATTGTGTAACATTCAAATAAAATATTAAATCGTTTTGCAAGAGCTGAAAACAATTGGGTGAACTTTGGAGAAAATCCAAATAAACTAACCCCTTGTACGGGTCTATTTGTTACAAGAGTTTAAAAAAACCCCAACATAAATGTCATGAACACAGTGCAAAAACAATTGGAAAATGCCACTGGAATAGACTAGACATTGTGGTAGAATCACAGTGCTGTCTCAAAAATAGTTAAGGCAGATGGCTGTCCACTGGAGTTCATCATCACGTGGCCATTCTGGGTAATTTCTGGGTAATTCCTTTTGAAGTATACCTGTTTAAAAAAAAAAAATCAAGAATATAAAACATGTTTAAAAGACTTCCTCCCCAAAGCGATACTTTTCTATGTCCACTTTGTCAAGTGAATTAAGTCACCAGTTGAGGCCCAATAAGAAAAAGACAAGTATCTATTTATTCTACAGAGGAATGAGCCCCGTTAAAAGCCCCAAGAAGGGATGGTGAGAACGTCAAACACCATGTAGGTCCACCTTAGCTCTCATCATTCTGTGTCACAGATGTGTTTTATCACTACATTAAAGTGATAAGTGAGACTCATTTTACTGCCTCAAAACTGGGTGATAAATTAGACAGGATGACAGAAAAGGCTGGAGAATCTCACGCCTGAGCAAGGGTTTCTCATTTTCACACATAAAGTGAGTACAATGGATGTGGATGTTAATATCAGGTTGTAATCCCTATATTTTATAAACTATGATTGACAAGCATTGAAGCTCAGGCGTGTATGTACGAAACATGCCGGAGTTTAATTTGTGCGGCAAGGCAGTTATGGGGCCTATAGAAATGTGATCTGTGGATAGTGGACCACAATAATAAATGCAGAAGCAAAAGCCTTCACAATGGCTACACCAAGCAACTTCCCTAAAATGTAAGATGACACCAAATAATAGGCCAGTTCTTTGCCAAGCCTTTGAGTTCTTGAATTCTACCAATTTCTAGCTGAACTAGACGAGATACAGGTTTTCTGATAAATGTATAATCAGAACATAAAGGAAATGAAATGCTGTCAGGTCTCTCTGTTCCACAATCATCAGTTTTTAGGAGCTGTATCCTATCTCAGTTCCTTGACAGATGCGCATAACAAAATGAAATAATGTCAAGACTTGCGGGCTCTTATCTCAAAATGTGTTCGGGTGAAAAAGGACTTCAAATGTAATATTTTTTTCTCTCCCCAAAGAAGAATGTGAAAAGTTTTGTTAGAGTCTTTAAAACAGAAAATGCACCATCTATCTGAGGCTGACACGTGTCGTGAGCTGCTCGGAGCCATTTGATTCTGGATCTATCTTATAAAACCTGGCTCCAAATATATTTGTGGGCACTGTCAACAAAGTTATCACTGCAGATAACAAACTTCACAGACAGAAAAGGAAAAATGCTGAGACACCGCCTGCATATGAAACGTGACTTCCTTTTTTTTCCTGTTTGCTTGCAAACTTGCTACTACAAACACCTCATTATGTACAAAATAGTATATATTACAATATCACTTCAGGAGAAAAATTATCAATTCTCAACTAATGTACTAGTATTCAAGGGAGCTGAGGCTGCTTCCTTTACAGGGGCCTTTTCTGATAATTTCACAGCATCTCTGTCACCTGCCCACACTGTCTTTTTAAAGCTAGCCACCATTGAGAAACTTTCCTGTGCTCTAGAAAGGCTATTTCTGGTTGAAACAAAAACAACTAATGAACAAATGGAAATACATTTCACTTCCTACTAATATACATACATATGAATGTGTGTGTATATATTATATAGAATACATATAGTGTTGTTGTTATGTGCCATCAAGTCACTTGCGACTCTTAGCGACCCTATGTACAACACCCCTAAACCCTGCTCTGTCCTGTACCAATCGCACTGTCTCTGCTACACCCATCCGGATTACCCCAGTCACTGAATCAATCCACCTCATAGAGGCCCTCCACCCTCCCAAGCATGATGTCCCTCTCTAAGGATCGGTCCCTCTTTTCAACATGTCCAAAGTATGTTAAACGAAGCCTCAGAATCCTTACCTCCAAGGAGCAGCCCGATTTAACCCTTTCCAGGATGAATCTGTTTGTTTTCCTAGCAGTCCATGGTATTCTCAATACTCTTCTCCAACACCACAGCTCAAAGGCATCAATTCTCCTTTTATCCTTCCTCATCATTGTCCAACTCTCTGATGCATAACAAGTGAATGCAAAGACCATGGCCTGTATCAGATGCACCTTAGTCTCCAGAGAGACACCACTGCTCTTCAGAACTTTGGAAAGGTCCCTAACAGCAGACTTTCCCATCATAATATGTCTCTTAATTTCCTGGCTACTGGTACAAAGAGTGTTGATTGTGGAGCCAAGCAAACTAAAGCTTTGAACAATCACATTCTCTTCACCATCCATCCTGATGCTGCCAATTGGTCCAGTGGTGAGAAATCTTTGTCTTCTTGATATTGAGCCTCAATCCATATTGGAGGCTGCAGTCCTTGACCCTCTGCAGTAAGCACTTCAGGTATCTGTTGCTGTTATGTACCACCAAGTCGGCATCAACTCCTAACTGACCCTCCCGCAGTCTTTCAGAGGCAGTAAATCACACAGATGGGAGGAGACTGCCCATCCTTCTCCTGCAAGCAACTGGTGGATTAGAACTACGTGGGTTTGCAGCCCTGCTCTTTCCCACTAAGCCGCCTGAGCTCTGCATCTGTGTGTAAACCCCAAACCAGCTACCGTTGAGGAAGTTCTAAGCTCCAGTTCATGGCGACCCTTGAGTGTCAGGAGTCCAGCTGCGTTTTATAGGATTCTGGCCGCTTTTCTGAAACCAGAAGTCTAGGCCTTTCCTCTGTGCCATTGCTGAGGGAATTCAAATCTCAGTTTAATAGCCATCATGCACTGACTACACCACCAGGGCTTTATAACTGCTGGGAAGCTCAGTGAAATCAAGCCAGTTCCCTTCTCTGTAACTCCTCGAGGAACTAGAGCTGGAAATGTCTAACTACAATGCTCTTTCTTAGCTTCACAACCTGAGAGTTGCCTGAAAGTAAGTATAAAATCCTTAAGCTGACCATTCTCCTCCTCATCGATTACCATGCTTCATAAGCTACTATGAAAGCAGGGAAGGGAGGTAAAGAAAGGGGCTTCTTTCTTCCAGTGCCGACGGCTGTTGAGGAGGCCGCAATCACGGCCTGCGTCTCCGCACAGTTTGTGTGCTGAAGGCTGAGCCTGGAAGGGAGAGGTCCCGGCTCAGCTCTCCCGGGGCTCACTGCTGACTCCGGAAAAATTGCCTAACCTCTCTCCACGCTGCCTGTCTCGTCTGTAAAATGAGATAACACTGACTTAGCTCATAGGAACTAATTAATGGCTACAAGCTGCCGGTTGAAAACACGCTAAGTGTTGGGTGTGATTTGGAAAGGGGCTCAGAGAAGTGGCTCCTTCGTACAAAGAAAGTGGCAGCATCCCCGGCCTGAATGCTGAACACAATCATCTGGGATTCTCTTTTGTGGGTCTTCTGATTTTATCTTTCCAGAACACCAGAGTCCTAGTTACAGATACCTGTAATTCACAGAATATGGAAACCCTGGAGGCAAGAGAGGTGCAGGTAGGAGGGCACAGAGTTGGAGGCAGACGTTAACGTACCCTCGCTGGAAGCGACGATAAGTTACTTAGGCTCTTGTGCCTTGACTTCATACGTCACAAAGGGGTAACTGCTCAGAATAGTCATGACGATGAAAAAAGACAAGGCTATGCCAAGTCCAAGTTCAGGGGCACAGTCTGAATCCACTAGAACTGAGGGAGATGGAGCTCTGGTGTCTTTGTGGTAAGGAATTTCACTGTCCACTGAAGAGTACCTAGTTCAAATCCATCAGCTGCTAAATGGAAGAATGATGGACAATCTCCTGCTTCTAAAAACCTACTGGAGGGTCAGCAATGGGTCAGTTCTGATTTCACGGTACACAACGACAGCTTCAAGGGAGACAGATGAGCTATTTCCCCTCATGCAATTTAATAGCCTTGGAAAATCAGCTAGAGGGTGGGCTATGGGTTGGTTCTGACCTAGGGGCAGTGAGTGAGTTTTCTGAAGGAAATAAAACATGTCCTGAGAATCTTATTAACTAGAAAACTTTAACTGTAGAGAGAATTGTAGAGAGTCTGTCTCAGAGAGGGTGAAACCAAGTTTCTCCTTGGAGGCTAAGATTTTGAAGCTCCATCTCACATACTATGTTCAAATGGACAAAAGAGACCAGTCCTTGGAGAAGGACATCATGCTTGGAAGGGTGGAGGGACAGTGCAGGAGAGGAAGACCCTGGATGAGATGGACTGACAGAGTAACTGGGGTAATGGGGTTGGTTTGTCGGAGTCAGTGAGACTGGCTCAGGACAGGGCAGGGTTCAGGGCTGCTGTACACAGGTTCAATATGGGTCACAGGTGACTTGACAGCACATAACAACAACAGAGATAAAACAGACACATTATTTCAGAAATATGATAAAACTTGAGTCTGAAGCCTCTAGACTGAAATTTCCTCAAAGATGCATTGTTTTTCAAACCTTTACACACACAATAATAAATACATTTGATTCTGCACTGAGATATCACAGTAAATCTTTTCAGAGGAGACTGCCCAACCTTGTCCCATGCAGCATATGATGGATTTGAACTGCATGGCTTTGTGACCGCAGTGCAGTTTCTCACCACTAAGCCACGAAAGCATGTGCACGCGCGCCTGTGTGTGTGTGTGTGAGAGAGAGAGAGAGAAAAGAGAAGAGCAGAGAAGAGAAGAGAAGAGAAGAGAAGAGAAGAGAAGAGAAGAGAAGAGAAGTTTCACGCAATAGTTACATTTCCTGTAATACGCTGGTCATGAGTGAATGAACTGATTCTACAACTTCACCAAAGGATCACAACCTGCAAGTCCAAAACCACTGTACTGACCACAACAAGATAAACAATTCAACTGCAAAATGGGCACAGGATATGAACAGGCACTTCACCAAAGAGGACATTCAGATGGCAAACAAACACATGAAGAAATGTTCAAAATCCCTAGCTCTAAGAGAGACGCAAATCAAAACAACTATGAGATATCATCTCACTCCAGTAACAATAGCAAAATTCAACAGAGCAGCAAACAACAAATGCTGGCAAGGTTGTAGAGAAACTGGAACCCCTATATTCACTGTTGGTGGGAGTGTAAAATGGTGCAACCACTATGGAAGAAGGTATGGTGCTTTCTGAAAAAAGTTGGAAATAGAAATATCATTTGACCCAGAAATTCCATGACTAG